AAGTTCTTTAAAGGTTGTGTAGAATCTGTAGCAGGTTGTTCTACACATCAATAGATCAGGTGGTTTCTGAAAGTTACAAGGTTCTTTATATATTACTCTGAAAATTATACAGAAATGTACTGATATTTGAAAATGCAATTTGTATTTTTGAATACTTAAGTATTTTTAACTGCATGTACTTTTGAATACGTAAGTATTTTCAAAAGTGAGTACTTTAATACTTTAACTTGAGTAGATGTTTGACTGAGTAAGTTATACTTTTAACTCAGTAAGATTTGACTATGAGTATCAGTACTTTTACTAAAGTATTTGAGTTTTGTCCACCACTGCCTATCAGCTGTGTTCTATTGTGTTCATGATGCTGTTTGTTCTCTAAAGTTTAATAACAAACCTCTGAGGTCAACACCGGAGAGCTGAATTTATACTGAATTTCTCACACAAACAGAATCTATTTTCTAATAGTGTCTACTGAAAAGCAATTGCTAAAGTATAACAGTTGTATAACGTATAACAGAATATATGCCATTGTTTTTTAGATTGTTTTTTTGCAGAAATGTTGGAAAACCATGTCAAATTGTTCTTTCAGTAATGCACTAAATTTGTGTCAGCGTGCCACATTAAAACCCAATAAAGTTGTAAACTTGGGATGTTTTGTGACAAAACATAAAAAAGTTCAAGATGACTGCATACCTGTACAAAGCAATCTTGATATTTAGTCATTTTTTTTCTCCCAGTCTAACAATTCATAATGTTTTTTAAAGATAACTATCATATATTAGCAACATCTGAGCAAAAGTCATTTATTTGTTATATTTCTTTGTTTTTTTCTTTCAAATCGTCAAATAAATTACAATCATTCTCAAGCCAATTTTTTTTTTTTCAGACTGGAGGTGCAGTGAAGTTTTCTTTATAAATTCATTCTACCTACTAGGTTTTTAATTTCAATTAATTTTCACAGCCTTTTAGAGCAGTGGAAACACAAAACACTAATATTTTCATAAATTCCTTTTTCCTTATGTAAAAAAAAAAGGTTTTTAAATCCATTGACAGTTATTAGATAAGGTGTTATGAACAGTGTTTACCCAACACCAACGTAAAATATGATCATAAACAGATATTGACAAGTCCTTATTTATTTATGCTGGAATCTGATCCTGTTTGTGTCGTCCGTTTGCCAGATGACTCCAAAAAGATCTCAGGTTGCACAAATTGCTTTCATGTTAACTTTTTATTCTGTTTTCTTTTCTTTAAGAATAAAAAATAAGGTCTTCCCTCCTGTGCCAAAACCTGTGATACCAGAGTTCAGTCCCTGTCAACCAGAGAATCAGGTGAGAGGTGGTGTTTATCTCATTAATGACATTTTTATATGATATCTAACACTAAAATGTCTATATTTAAAATGTAAGGTACATCTTTACCTTGAGGGTTCATTGTTTTTTTATACTTTGAGTCCATTCAATCATTTTTAAGTCATTTTATTTTAATGAGCAGACTGAATTCAAAAGAAACTGAAGGAAAGTCCCAAACTAACATGTAGAAAGATGATGTGAAAGAGCCTCAAACCTCTAATTTCCCCACAAACCAAAACTACGAATATAGTTAAGGACCATTTTACAGTTGGCATGGAAACAGAGCAGTTGGTCAAGTGGGGATCATCTGTGTTTTTTTTCCCTCAAACAAACCAAAAAAGTTAGCATTCTTATATACAATAATGTCATAAACTGAGTTATTTATCATAAAACTGTAAAAAAATATATATATATCTGTAAAAGCCTTAAAGAAGAAATGTTCAATTTAAATAAAATTATTTTCTCTAAATGTCAAATGTTAATTACCATTCTGAAACGGATGTTACCTTTTTAATTGTTTTTTCGTTCACAGCTCCTAAACAATCCAACTATTTTCCTTTCTTTTGTTTTTACACTTCCTAGCATATAAGTATTAAAAAAAAAATTACCATAAGTTCTATTTTTGTGTTGCTAAATATAGCAGTCCTCACTGTGGACTAAGAAAAAAAAAACAAGTGCAAAAAAATGTTTAGGAAAAAAGAAAGTCTCCTTTTGACTGCTAAAAAAAACAAAAAAACTGAACCTGATTTTCTGTCACACTCTACATCTTTGAAAGCCAGAATTTGCGGTTGCTCCTCTGTGCCCCAGAACTTTGACCCTGTTCTGATGTGACCCAATAACAGGAGATATGGGAGAGAAAAGAGGAAGTAGATAACCTCTCGCTGCACCCGATCGACCCGGAGACGAGTCCCGTTTCAAAGCAGGCCACAGTCCTGGAGGATGAATGGGATGATGGAGCAGAGCAGAAGGAGGAGGCAGAAGAGGGCTGCTCAGGAGGATCTGATGATGAGCGAACCAGTCTAACCTCAGCTGATGAGACTGTGAGGACAGCAGAGCTGAAGGACATGGAACAGGTGGAATCTGAGCTGGCCATGCTGATCTACAGGAACGGTTTGGTGTTTGATGTCAAATCAGAATCACTTTAACTGGTTTCACCATAACGGCACGCTGTGCAAAGCATTGACCCTGGTTGCTGACAAATGTTTACTTTTATGATTTAAACTGTTTATGCAAATGTTTTTCTTATTTAAAAACATTTATATTTCTTTTTTTTTCTTTGCATGTGTTTTCTTTAAGTCATTTATGTTAAACTAACTATGAAATCTTTAAGGAACCAATACTGTACACAATTAAGTACTGCTTCTTCTTTTCCAATATCAATGGATATTTTTAGCTTTTTAAAAGACTGAACATTTTGCTTGTTTGCCATATAAGTAATCGCTTATGTTTATTCTCCTGATATTGGCAAATATAAATGTAATGTATCTTCTTTTTATATTGCCAAATGTTTATGCAGTTTTTTTCCTTTACTTCTAAAGATCATACCATTACATTTCACACAGCCTCCAGATGCATCCGTGCAAAAACTCTAGAAATGTAACTTCATCTGCTCTTAAACACTACAGTCCCTTTCACACATATTTTGATATCCAACAGCAATGTGCAACAAGACTTTGAGTCTAATGGTTAAGAGTGTAGCTTGTTGAAGGTCTTTTTAAAATTACGCCCAGCAGATCAAAGCTAAAAAGACACCTGACTGCTCAGAAATCCAAAATGCGAACAGTGGCATGTTTCAGAGTAGCTACATGACAGGAAGTGGCCACACCAAAAGAAAAAAAATACTTGACCTTAAAAAAAGGAGGTTAAAAAATACAGATTAGTCATAACAAGAGGCAGAGCGTTTGATCCGTGTTGTTCAGACTACAATATGTCCTGTCATTTACACAGAAACAACCACTGACACACTTGCAGTGTTTTCCACGAATGCAAATGAATGAAAAACACATCTTTGAAATGGTTTCTCCGATTGTTTGGTTTAAGACTGAAATCAGCTGGGGCCATTTTCTACTGTAAGCCAATTATCTGCAGGGTTTATCGTTCACCACATCAAGATAAAGACTTTTAGGTCTTGACCACAGGGAGGACGTGGGTATATGATAAACTGTGTGGTTAATGTTGTGTACATGGTGCTATGTCTGCATGTGTTTGCTGGTACAATTACAATTAAAGTTTCAGTAATTTCAAAGTCCCTGTTCCTTATCTTGTTACTCGAAAACAGTAAGATTTCTCAGTTTTTATTATGTTTGCATGATTATTAGATAATAGAACATGATAGATCTACAGTTATTAGTTCCTTTAATAATTCCCATTCCCATTGTGTTTATACTCTTCTGTTCCAGGTAAATGATTTAATATTGCTCTAATAGTCCATCAACAATTTGACATATCCTATATGTATGTATATGTGTATATAAACATACGTATATATATGACACACCTCAACACATGTGTTTGTCAGTTCGTTTGTCTTTCCTCCTGAGTGTACTTGCTTATTATGACATGCCCCTTGGTTTATTTGTATGTTGTATATATATTTTGTTTTCTTTAAGTGAAATTAAAAAACAAAACAAAAAAACAACAAAAAAAACAAACAAACAAATAACAGCAAAAAGAGTCTTCGAAGCATCCAGGTCCAGCAGATTCCAGAACAGCTTCTTCCCCACTGCCATTAGACTGCTGAATGTTGTATAAAATGGGGTTTAAAAAGAAAAAAAAGGGGCTGAATGTTGAAAACTGTAAATCATATATCAGTCTTACGTTTACATTTAATCATTGCTACATTTTAAAAATGGAAATTTCTTGAGAGCTGTACTGAACAAATTTCTTTTTGTATACATTCTGTGTACAAAGTGTATGGAAGAGGATTAGGGCCACTGGGGGAAAAAAAGTTAACTGATTTTTAAATATTATTTCAGTTTAACATGGGAAAAAAGTCAGAATTCTGAAATTTTTTCTCTGAATTCTGTATTTTTCTCAGAATTCTGACTTTGATCTCAGAATTTTGGATCTTAATGTAGATGGGCAACATGAAGGAAGAGATG